GTTCATGGGGTCATGAAGAGTCGGACACGACTTAACAACTAAACAACAACAACAACAATATCTTTGGACACTGATATATCTTGGAAGTTTTAAAAACAGGTTTTGATTCATTTAAGGTTTCCCCAAAGTTTTGTACTTCAGATGATATAGTTTCTTTACCACTAAATCATGTGTTAATAGTGTGCCCTCTCCTTCTTTATATCAAGGTACACACCACAGAAGTCTTCTTTCTCCCTTTCTTTTCAATGTCTTCCTTATGTAACTAGAAATTCTCAAAAACATTAATACAATTACAGTAGAAAAAGGATAGAGTATAAGGTTCTACCATATGTAGATGATATATATCTTGTACTGGTCTTATACACTTGTTATAAGTATATACCAAGAAAAAATATTATAAAATACTAAATGTGTTATATTTTATAGATAGGACACAGACTGTACATGAAGCCACTGGATGAGGTTATCCATGAACATGGGGTAAAGTATCATCACTGTGCTGATGATACTCAGCTATAATTTCTATCCCTGGCTGGACAAGTGATGTCATTAAGGTTCTTTCCAAGCATCTGGAAGCTAATGGGGGTCTGAATGGGGTAGAACAGGCTTCAGCTCAACTCTAACAAAACCATTGTTAAGCAAGTCTCTACCTTGATGCAACTTCTCAAAAATAAAGCTAAGAAAGCATAGCTGCAAGAAGGTTTCCTGCAGTACTTGATCCATAGCTGCTATTTCTAAGAATAGGTCTAGGCTGTGATTTTCCTAACATCTATGGGGGTAGAAAAACCCCAAGCAACTGACTTCCAGGGAAGCAATGGCGGATTGAAGACACCTCCGCACAAGGGGAGCTGACAGCAGCGGTGGAGAGGAACCAGTGAAGGGATCAGCTCTCTGAAGGCTCTTGGAACCCCTCTCTGGATCAAGGAACAGATTAGGATCACCCACAAGTTTGCCCTATACAGAGGCTCGCCTGTGAAAGAGATCACAAAATAGCGATCTCCCCTGGGTTTGAAAGCTCTGTGAGCCAGGGGAAAATCATCTTGCCTAAGCTGAGGTTTGGTGTCTTCAAACAGACACTGGGTTCGCCCATTTCCTCTCTTAACCACTTTAGGAAACTACTTATTATTGACCTTTTGGATGTTAAGAAACTTATGAAAGGCAAGTTTCATCACATTGGGAGAGCTTCCTTCTGTCCTGGATGAAAGTTTTCTGTCAGTTTAAAAATTAAATAGAAACATTGTAATTTTTGGAAAACAGCAAAAGAACATCTAGAATGTTGATTTTGGAAAGTTAAGGGGCCAGTTGGATTTGAAAGAATATTTCCTGTGGGTTGTTTAACATTTTATAAAAGTATGTATGAAGATTTTGAAATTAATTGTAAGAAATCCTCCTGTGGAAAAGTTTTGCTGATTGGAGACTAAACATATGATAAGAGAGGGCTTTGAAGGTTGACTAGAGGGATCCAGAGAGAATTAAAGATTATAATTAAAGGAGAAGAGGCCTATTAATAAAATGGAGCAATATTATCTGGCTATAGAAGAAATTAAAGCTGTCTGGGAACAATGCATCCAGAAATTACTTTCAAGATTGTCTGCCACTATAGAAATGGATATAACAGAGGTTACAGAAGAGGAACAGATTTTACAGGATAAAATAGAGACTGAGGCTGATTTGAAAACGGATAATTTTATTTTAAAATTTAAAACTTTAAAAAATGCCAGACTATAAGAGCGATATGGAAGAAGATGATGTGGATTTGAAAACAGATTTTAAAATGATAGACTATAAGAGTGACATGGAAAAAGATGTCACAGTGGATTTACAAATGAAACTGGTTGATGTTTTAATAACTAAAGGGGGCATACAATAATAAATCAGAAGAGTGACC